CCTCCCCCAACCACCCCATCCCCACCAAAAAAACAAACAAACCCCACCACAAACCAAAAACAAGCAATAAGTTCCTCCCAAACTCACAGAGCCTCCTGAGAGTCCCGCACGGCGTCCTCCGCCACAAAGAGGGCCGTGGACGCCATCACGTTGAGAGACGTCACATCCTCCAGCGACACAGCCGCGCCATCTATCTGCTGCACCAGCTGCTCCATATCTGACAGGGGCTGCAGCTGAGTAGACTGTACCCGGGAACTTTGGAGCTGAGCCGTTGCCTTTGAAAAAAATAATAATCGTATGAACTCTTTGAAGATGTAGAGGACACATACGTCCGATCAGAAGGAGACCAAAAGCAATGTTGCTGGATAATTGGTCGCTTTAAAGGACAAGCGGGCTAACCCAGATTTCCGGGGTTTCCAGAAATCTTGACCTACTCCAAAAGTGAGCATTGGCCTACCTATAGAAGAAGTTTGGTTTCATTGGTGTGTATATTTCTTTGGATATACAGAAAACTCTCCTTGTCTTTTAAAGAAACTTAACAAGGAGCAAAAACGTAACCTTCGATTTTCTCAAAATAGCATTTTTCGGGATAGCCCCCTTGTGCTTAAAAGCGACCAATTCCGGTCTCATATAGACCAGGACTAAAGATATACATAATTTATAGAATGCATGCAGTTGCCCGTCGCTTTAACTTTCAGATAAAGAAAACTGAATGGAAATATTTGTATGAACAACGAAGATAATATGATGCTTCAAAACGGGGCGTCTTCAAGCTGCGTCAAAAAACCAGAATGCACGTACACCGTGTTTTAAACGATTTACGCCCCAATATAAACTTTAGGACTAAAAGGAAACGGCTCATTTTTTTTTAAAAGGTAGAAAAACTCCCCCCCCGTTCCAAAGATATGCTAAAACTAGTTGTTGGTTTTTTTGAACAGCAAAAACATCTAAATTCAAACCTCTGACAGTATACATTTCAACATGTTTTCAAATTTGTTATATTGCTTAGTTTTCCTTTGTCATATTTATCAAATGGCGTATGATCACGATCCTGATTATTATTACAACTAAATCTCCTCCCTCTGTCAACACCCTCTCTGTTCTAACTCCCTCCCCTCTCTTACATCCATCTTTCTCCCCCTCTCCCCAACCCCCTCCCACCAACATTCTACCTCTCTTTTTGATTATATCTCAATCTCTCTTTCCCGGTTTCTTTGTTGCCATGATTATCAGTATAATTAAATCTAGTAAAATTGATTATAGTGGCATTCGTGATAAAACGACATTAACAGGACGGACACTTACCATGTCGTTCTGTGTTTGGGAGAGGGAGCCGAAACTCTCTATTACTGACGTCATCGAGTCAATCATGACTTGTTGCGCATTGTCAGCTACTGTCTGTGGTGGGACGTAAACAAAACATGAGCAGATTCGTGTAAGTTATGAGGTCGTCTTCAGAACTCTCTCTCTCTCTCTCTCTCTCTCTCTCTCTCTCTCTCTCTCTCTCTC